CCGCCGCCGCAGGAACCGCCCGAGCTGCTGCAGCGCGCCGGCGCCCGGCGCGGGCGCGGGCGCGGCCGCTGGCGCCGCCTGCTCGCGCGCCGCGGGGGCGGCGGTCGCGGCGGCCACTGCGGGTGCGGGTGAGAGCGCGGCGGCGTGGCCCGCGGGCCGCGGCTGGCCTGGCTTCAGGGTCGAGCCAGGCGCGGCAAACACGGCCGCATGGGTCGCGTTGGCGGGGTACCGGACCTGGGGGGGGCGGCAACGTGTCCGCAGGGCAGGCAGGTGTCAAGCGGGCGGGCGCGAGGGCGGCGTTTTGGGGTGCCGGCGCCCTGCTGCGAGGCACGGGGGCCTGGGGCGTCCGGACCCAGCAGGGCGGTCAACCCTGGCAGCACCGGCAGGCGCGAAGCGCCGCAGGCGCAGACAGGGGAGAGCGAGACCAGGCGCCCGCTGGCACGCGGGCGTGGCGTAGGCGTGTGCGCGCGCACACACACACACACACACACACACACACACACACACACACACACACTCACACACACACTCACACTCCCTCTCTCTCTCTCACGCTCACACACGCAACATTAAACATACACACACGCGCACGCACACGCACACACACACATACACACCACCAGCCAAACCCCATCCACGCATCAGCACGCCTCACACCCCCCCCCCCAAGACCCGCACCCACCTCCACATCTGATCCAAACACATCCAGTATCAGGTCCCGCAGCTTCACCCTGCCCAGGGCCGACAGGTCCAGCTCGTAATTGTAGCTGGAGTGACAAGATTGAACATTGGTGGGAGGGGCAGCAAGCGCCCATGGCGGGCGGATGATCGTGTGGATGATCGTGTCAAATCAGATCAGATCAGATCAGATGATGCGAAGTGGCGTCGGAGAGGGGCGGCGCGCGACCGGGGACGCGAGGCGGGGCGGAAGGGGGGGTTCAACCGCCGGGCGCGGCTGGCGTGGCGCGGCTGCGCGGAAGCGAAGGACGGGGCGCAGGAGAGCGCTCGACGCAAGCACGCACAACCCCGGCACACGCGCGCATGCGCGCGCGCGCGCTCACGTAGCGAGGAAGTCGCCCTTAATCATGCAGAGGCTGTAGCCGCCCGCCTCCGCCTCCGGCCCCGCAACCAGCGCAGGTTCGGCCGCCAGGCCCTGCGCTCCGCCGCCCGACGCGGCGGCCGGCGCCGCCTCGGGGTCCCCGCCGGCCCCAGGGGCGGCCCCGGCGTCCGGCGCGGCGGCGGCGGGGGCGCTTGCGGCGGCCACCTCGGGGCCGTCCTGTAGCTTTGTGAGCTTGCTAACAATAAGTTCTTTCAGATCCGCAATCATGCGCTGCTGCGCCG